AAGAAGAAGAAGAAGAAGAAGAAGAAGAAGAAGAAGAAGAAGAAGAAGAAGAAGAAGAAGAAGAAGAAGAAGAAGAAGAAAGAAGAAGGAGGAGGAGGAGCAGGAGCAGGAGGAGGAGCAGGAGCAGGAGCAGGAGGAGCAGGAGGAGCAGGAGGAGCAGGAGGAGGAGGAGGAGGAGAAGGAGAAGAATTAGGATGCTGTTCATTCAATTTGTCAAGCATGGGGTGGAACTGACTCTGAGCAGTGGTAGTAATGTTTTGCTCCTTGGTCTGGTGATGGAATCTTGGATTTATTCAGTTTAGTTTGCAGCAATTTACTGAACTATACATTTATTGTATATATCCATCTCTGTACACATGTTATGCTTAAGTAAAAAGTTTCTTTAAAAATCTCTGAATGCCAATATTTGAGTCATCTAATAGGAAATTGTCTCTAGACACATGGAAGAATAAAATGTTAAGTTAGCACAGTTCTCAAAACAGTCTGAAATTGCAGCCAAGAGAACATTTTTAAAAGCCAAAACATATAAAAAATGCCTAAGCATTATGTTATCAGTTGTGGAGTGCATGGAGAGAAATGAAACCAGTAAATTGCAATGTATAAGAAATTGGGGGGGGAAGGTTTTCTTTAGAATCTTACTAGATGAATTAAAGAGCAGTATTTTCATTTGTACTTGTAAAATAACATTTTAATGACCAAGCTGAACAAAATATGTACAACCTTACTTTTTACATTTTAGAGTTGGAATCTACCAACCTTTTCTACCTGGACCAGCCAGTTTAAGTATCCACAGTGGTACTCAATGTCCTGAGTGGCTAGGATTACAAATATGAGCCATTAACATCTGATTCTAGATTCATTTTCTAATTCAGTACCCTAATCTATTGTGTTTCAAGGCAGACTCAGCAAGTTTTCAGGTATGGATTGCTAGTATTGCACATTTTTAAGAAGTCTTTTCTCTGCATCTCCTAACAGAGAGAAAATAATTTCACTACACAACGAATTAAGGGATTCAGCGTGGAGGTCCCACTTATTGCCGATAGCCCTCCCCCATCTATGTCTTCAGTCATGAAGAATAACCCACTATATGGTGATATAAGTTTGGAGGAAGCTATGGAAGAAAGAAAAAAGAATCCTTCATGGACCATTCAGGAATATGACAAACGTTCCCTGCATTCAAACCTCTCTGGACATCTGAAGGTATGTTGACTTAAAAAAATCATCTTCTTCAACTGATGAGGAAAATCACCAGATTTTAGAACATTTTTCTTCCTCATACCTTGGAGGATTTGTTGTTGTGGTTTGTTTTGAGTGTTGGCTATTTTAATGTTATTATAGCTGTATAATGTAGAAAGGACAAAAAATGATACAGCATTGAACAAGCACTTTCTGAAAGGTCAAAGAGTTTTGAAAATTTATTTTCAAAGACTACATGTACTTTCCCCTAGTTTATACTCTTGTAACCAATTTAGGTTCATGACACTTAACACATTTCATTTATTACACTTATTCAAAAATATTTATGAAGTGTTCTGTCTTAGGCATTGTATAAGGAAGTTTTTAACAATGATCATGTATTTCAAGCCCATCCAATAACTTAAGATCGTAAATTGACATTCTGGTCATTTTCCTGTGTCTTAGTAACAAAACAAAACAAAAACAATGGAGGAAATTATGCAATGAACTCATTCGCCTAGTTTAAGATTTCCTTCTACTTTTTTCTCTGTTTTAATCCCATGATTACCTAATCCTAGAAAACCTGAAACTACCTGAAAAGCAGAGAAAATGGCTCTCTATTGTCTAAAAAGACTGGATTCCAAACTAGCCTTGGCTTGCCTCCACCTACCTCAGCCAGGAAGCCCGGCCTTTTCCAAATGTACCCTTCATTTTAAAATGTGTATCTGTTACAAATACATAGCTTAAGCACTTGAAGACTTTTTTTCTTTTGAAGGGGACAATATCTATACACTTTTTAAGAACTCAAATGTACACTTTCCAAAATAGCTTATGGTCCAGAGCCTTTGACATTTTTTAATCTAACAGATTCAGTGTATCTCATCCTTAAGGCAACTCTTTTCAGAGAAGTTTTCTAAACCCAATCTCCCCTAACATCAATAATAATGCCATTTTCCTTCCTTCCTTCCTTCCTTCCTTCCTTCCTGCCTGCCTGCCTGCCTGCCTGCCTGCCTGCCTTCCTTCCTTCCTTCCTTCCTTCCTTCCTTCCTTCCTTCTTCCTCCCATCTTTTCTTCCTTCCTTCTTTCTCTTTTTATTTCTTTTGTTCTCTCTTTCTCTCTTACTTTGTTTTTAAACTCATGCTGATTATCAGAGGGGGTTCATATCAGAACTTCTAAATTTTGTTAGAAAAAAATGCCTTGATTTATTTCACAAATACTCAAATGATTCTTGTTCTCTTCCCTTAATTTTATTGTTTTTGTGCATGACAATGGTGCAGTACAGATGACTATGTCATCCCAGTGGCAATGAAGAATATATTTTTAAGTTAAACAATTATTGAATTAATGGAGTCACAAATCTCCCCCCCCCCCAGCAGATCCTCCATGTGTGCATGGGCTTCCTTCAAGAACAGACCCCACGGGGCTGGGAAGGTGGCTCAGTGGTAGAACACTTGCCTTGCATGCCTGAGGCCCTGGGTTTGTTTCCTCAGCACCGCATAAGCAAAAAGAAAAAAGCTGGAGTGGCACTGTGGCTCAAGTGGTAGAGAACTAGCCTTAAGCTGAAGAGCTGAGGGACAGCGCCCAGGCCCAGAGTTCAAGCCCCACAACTGGACCTAAAAAATAAAAGACCCCATTTCACCAATTTAATAATGCTATTTTTCAACACTAACCTAATTGAGGAAAACTTTTAGAAGCTACACATTCTGTTTGTGTTAGAATTCCACTGCACACTTCATTAATTCAACTTCTTCTACCGCTGCTTCCGTCCTTATTTCATTATTAGCAAACAGAGTGCCTAACTCACTTTCTATAACCTTGATATCACCACATTTTGGGTGCCTTAGGCTATTTCTATGTTTTTTAATTGCTGTAATTTTCTAAGGTGGAAAAGAGAAAGGAAATCCAAAGTTTAATTATCAAAAAAAGAAACAGAATTTAAAACAGGATAGAATCCATTGCTTAAGATATTAGTGGAGAACAAAAAGCACTGAATTTGCAGACAAAATGCAGGCCTCTAGTTCACACACAAAAAAGATGAAAGATAAAGATGTTTGAAACAGCATCCAAATTTAATTGTAATGTTTGAGTATTTTCCAAACTAGGAAGTTCAAAACCATACCACTTTAACAGGAGAATTGTATTGCCAAATCCACCTCTTGCTTCCTTGTGCATGCACACTCCTTTCCTAGCAGTGCATTCCTAAGTGTGAAGCCAGTTTGGTGACTGGAGAGTCAGCATGAGAGAGAACAGCACACTTCAGCCCTTGTAAGCACCCAGGAGGGAACTAACAAGGCCTGTGATGGCTTTGTGTTGATTCACCTTTCCCTATTAATTTACTTAATGCCTGCCCAATGGTAGGCACAGGTGTTGAATCTGTTGCACTAAAACAACAGGGGATAAGAAGAAATGCTATTTTTATAAGTGGGACTCTGTTCAAAAGGAAATGTACTCATTACCTGACATATGTAACTATAACCCCTCTGTATGTCACCTTGAAAATAAATTTTTTTTAAAAAAGTGGGAACATTAAAATGGGCTGTGATAACTCAGTCCTGTAATCCTAGCTATTCAGGAGGCTGAGATATGAGAATCAGTATTCAAAACACTCTTGGAAAATAAGCAGCCCAAACCAAAAGTGGAGTTGTGCCTCAAGTGGTAGAGCATTAGCCTTGAGTGAAAAGGCCAAGCAAGAACATGAGGCCCCTGAGTTCAAGCCCCACTATGGGCATATGCACGCAGGTACACGTACATGTGCGCACGCACACACACACACACACACACACACAGTATGGAGAGTAGAGCTTGTAGGTGACTTATTAGACCAAGAAACATGATATCTAGTTTTCTGCGATCAAAAGAAAAATGAAGCCACAATGAAAGACCTTTTTGGAGAATGGGACCTGGTACTGAGAGGATGTACTAAGGTTTTTGTTTAGGAAGTCAAAATTTGTGCATGACAAGCATGCTATGGGCCTTTTTAAGGGACACTTAATCCTTCAATGGATATCAGCTGCCACATTTGCTGAAAACTTACCAAGCATACTTATCCTGGCTGTGCAGACAGAAGAAGCCTCTAAATTAATCTAAAGCTAAGAATTTTAATTCTATTTCTATGATGTCCATGCAGGTTTGTTTTGTTTTTGTTTTTGTCAGTAATGGGGATTGAACCCGGGGCCTGGGTGCTGTCCCTCAGCTCTTCAGCTCAAGGCTAGCACTCTACCATTTGAGCCACAGTGCCACTTCCGGTTTTCTGATGGTTAATTGGAGATAAGAGTCTCACCCACTCTCCTTTCCTGACTGGCTTTGAACCGAGATCCTCAGATCTCAGCCTCCTGAGTAGTTAGGATTACAGGTGTGAGCCACTGGCACCTGGCTCCATGCACTATTTATAAGAACTCATACATTAAAAAAAAAATTGACCAAGAGATGACATAAAGATGAGTTGGTGTTTCTGAGCTTTCCTTGAAAGCAACTGAATACAGAAATTGAGCAGGCCTCCTCATGAATTTGAATAAAATTTGTAAATTAACTCCAGGAATATCTGATCAGCAAGGAGGCTGGGGCAGCTTCCCAGGGCTTTCCTTCTTTTATTTGAGATGTGGCCCTTAAGCCTCATCCAGGAGGACAGTGTGACCTTAAAGACATCTTTAGAACCTTGTTCTGCAATCTCAGTCTGTGATCACGATTACTCATGGTTTGATAACATTCTCTATGTAATTTGTTTTTTCAGGAAAACCCTAATGATCTACGGTTTTGGTTGGGAGATATGTACACACCAGGTTTTGACACCTTATTGAAGAAAAAGAAGAAACGTGATAAGCGATCGAAATTGTGTCACATGGGTCTGATCTTACTTCTTGTAACTTCTGTCTTGGTTACCATAGTGACTATCAGCACATTTTTCACCTAAAGAGACTGTCACAGATAGAATTTCAAAAGCTTTCTGAACATTTGCGCAAAAAAAAAAAAAACAAAACATGCTCATGCAATGTGGATGTTGTTAATTTTACAGCTTAGTGTGTTGGTCCTGTAGAATGGGAACAGTGTGTGAGATAAGCTGGCTTCTCTGCTTTGCACTGTAAAACCTGTATACAAATTCTAGCCCTTCATTTGTCCTTTTCGAAACAGAAAATTTTCCAAAGTAACACCCACAGAGAAATCACTCTATATAACCTGATAGAGACCAAAGCACCATCAAGGATTTCAGCCACTATGTGATAATACTCAAATTCACTTTGATAAAGTACTGCTGACCCCTCTCTGTCCCCATCCTCCCAACAAGAGGGAAGTTTGAGTCAGTCATCTTTTTGGCCAACTACCAGGTAGACAGCTAAAGCTTGTGGTTATATTGCCAGTGGGCTTGGATTTATTTTTTGTTTTCTCTTCCTTTATTTCTATTTAAGTCAAAAAGAAAAGGGAGTAAAGAGGGGACATTATTCAAATCTATTCTTGTTTTTCCAATAATTCTTTATAATGTCCTAAATTTGTGTTGGAATTTTAACAGAACTTAACTTGGGTAGGCCATACGGATGTAATTAATTATACTTAAATCCAATTCTACCTATTAATTAATTCAAATTAGCTAGTATGACTCCCAGTGGCAACCACTTAGTGTATCTCCAGCCATGATCTAGGCGGAGAGGGACTACTGCCAAAAGAATGAGTTTAAATACTAATTGAGATTTATTAACTCTTGGGTCTTCAGCAAGATATTCTCACAGAGAAGGATAACAATGCCCCCTCACCATCAAAGCTGATGCATAGAACTAAACAAGAAACCTATATAAGAACAATGCCTGAGACCTAGTAGTGGTTGTATAGTTAGTGGTGATTGTTATTACTAATTTGTGATAACTAATCGGCAGTGACCCAAGGTCATCATCCATTGCCTACATATACATGGAAACAGATCTAGACATAATGTGTGAAGTCAACACCCTTTCTCCTACAACACCCTTCCTTAAATTTCTCCCTATTCCCTTTTCTGCTCTAAATACCCAATCCTAAATCATTTGTGTGAATCAGAAGAGGTAATTTCTGCTCTTCTTGTCACAGTAAAGTCTGTGTTTTCCATTGGTACTGAAAATTATTGTGTTGTATATCTCTTAAGATACTTGAAATAAAACACACTAAAGTGTATCTTTACTGGACAACAAAATCATTGTACCAAAAATGTCTTAATTTTCTTTACAGTTCCTAACTTCTAATTCTCGTTTAGTCTGGGTTTCCATTTAATGGAGAACTGAATGACAGGAGTCATTCAACTGGGGTCATACTGAGGGCAGGCCTACCCTCTCTGTGATCACATGTTAGATAAAAGTTGGTATCACTCTATCTTCAAGTTTGCCTCTAAGAGATTCAAAATACATTCTGGTCTCTAACATATACCAATAGCATCATGTAGGCCTTTGCCTACATGACTTGGTAAAGGCACTTAGCAGGAGTAAACATAGAATTGTAAAGGTTTATACCTATGATCTTAATTCCTCAGAGGTCAGAGATCTGGAGGCTCTTTGTGTGTGTGTGTGTGTGTGTGTGTTTGTGTGTGTGTGTGTGTGTGTGTACGCATGTGTGCCAGTGCAGGGACTTGAGCTCAGGGCCTGGGTATTCTCCCTTAGCTTTACACTTTAGGCTGGCATTCTTCTGCTCCATTTCTGATTTGTTGGAGATAAGAATCTAATGGACTTTCCTGTCTTGGCTGCCTTAGAACAATGATCTCAGATCTCAGCTTCCTGAATTTCTAGGACCATAGTCATGAACCACTGGAGCCTTGGCCAGGAGTTTCATGTTTTGAAATGAACCCATACAGAAAAACTCCATTTACAAAAAGACAATTAAGTAGCTAGGCTGGAGGAATGGCTGAAGTACTAGACAAGTAAGCAAGCAAGCAAGCCTAGCAAGCTGGAGATCCTGAGTTCAAATTCCATTACCACCATAGGTTCAAAGTTTGCTTACCTAAACTCCAAACCTTTCCTACCTCTATCTTTTGTCCTTGTTTCTTTTCAAAGAACTGTCTTTGATCCCTCTGCATTACATAGTTCTCTGCTACTCTATTTTTTTATTTAGGTCATGGGGCTTGAACTCAGGGCCTGAGCACTGTCCCTGAGCTTTTCCATTCAAGGCTAATTCTGTACTAATTTGAGCCACAGCACCACTTCCAGTTTTCTGGCGGTTAATTGGAGTTAAGAGTCTCATGGCTTTCTTGCCTGGGTTGGCATTAAACTGCAATCCTCAGATCTCAGCCTCCTGAGTAGATAGGATTACTGGCATAAGCCACTGGTGCCACCCAGCTTCCTCCTGTACTCTTATTATAGGATATTATCAGTCATGGAGGGTTTATTATCTTGTTATTGCTAATAATCCATTTTTTAATTTTTATTCTTCAGTGTAATTATATAATCAAAATAGATTCTTTGGTACTCATTGGATTAATGATATCTACAAGGGACAGAAAGTTATCAGGAGAATATATCCCTATATGCACACCAATTCATACCTTAGATGTAGTTCTGATTTCCTCAGTGTGAGTTTTTATGCAAATAGTTCAAGCAGAAAATACAGAAGTAAAGTCTAAGTACAGGTTGTGTTCTGACCACGGCTTGCTTGAGAGACCATGTCAAATATTTTTAAAGCAGATAAAAATAACCAATGGTTGCTGGGTAACTGTAGCTCATGTCTGTACCGCTAGCTACCCAGGTAGGAAAGACCAAGAGAGTCTTCAACTAATCACCAGAAAAAGCTAGAAACAGAGCTATGGCTCAAAAGATAGAACGGCAGCCTTGAATGTAAAAGCTCGGCTCTCAGTTTGAGCCATAGTTCTGGCATACACTGTTATATTAACCACTGTTATATACCAACGGTCAAGAAATAATATTATCTTGAATGCTAATACTGTCCCTATTTTTTCCTAAAGTAAGAAATATGAGCTCCTAAATTTTGTAGCAAAATTAATTTAGTATAGAACAATGATTTTCCCCAGATTCTTTGAAAGAAAGTCACTCCCCTGAAAAAAAGATTGCTCTATTTTGTCTTCTTCTTCTTCTTATAATTATTATTTCTTTTTTTGTTGGTTGTGGGGCTTGAACTCAGGCCTGGACACTGTCCCTCAGCTCTTCCTTCAGCTCAAGATGAGCACTCTACCAATTGAGCCACCGCACCATTCTGGTGGTTAATGGTGATGAGTCTCACGAACTTCCTTGCCCGGACTGGCTTTGAACAGTGATCCTCAGATCTCAACCTCCTGAGTAGCTAGGATTATAAGTGTGAACCTTATTTTTATCTATTAGATTAGTGTGTGGAAGGCCTACAAGAAAATAATACACTAAATTGTCTAGAGGAAAAATTCCAACCGTACATGCATTTTAAAGTGCAGATTTAACAGAAAGATTTAAGTTGTTCTTTCTACATAATCCATTCATGGTTTCTCCTATGTTCACATTGCTGACACCTAGTGGGAAGTTCAGTGCCAGGAATACAGAACAGATTTCTGGGGATGCTGCACTTTCTCAGAGTGCATGACTGTCATCTGGTGGCCACTCCTATTATTCCTAGGAACTCATGCCTGAGGACCAAGATCTCTGGCAACCCTTTGCAACTACTAATTTTGATACTTTTCTTATCTTCCCAGAAGAGAAAAGATTGCCAGTGAGTCACTAAACACCTGCAACAGAGTTGGTGACTCTAGTACACATAGTGTGCTAAAGCTAGATGTCTCCCCAGAGTTTGCCTATTCCTAATTGATTCAAAAATTGACTGTGGAAGTGGCACCATGGCTCAATTGGTAGAGCGCTAGCCTTGAGCTGAAGAGCTGAGGGACAGTGCCCAGGCCCAGAATTCAAGCCCCATGACCAACAACAACAAAAAATATTGACTGGCTGTTTCAGGTCTGCTATGGTCTTCTGAATTTATACACTGCATTATGTCTAGTAGTAGTAGTAGTAGTAGTAGCAGTAGTAGCAACAGCAGCAGCAGCAGCAGCAGCAGTAGTAGTAAGGATCCTTCACGTTCATCCCAGGAGACCCCTGAAGGCAAGCAGGCACTGGAGAAAGATTATTATAAGGTTTGTTAGAGGGGCCATATTTTCCAGGAGAGGGAGCACATGGCACCTGTCCCTATTCAGGTAGCAAGAAGGTTGGGGGGGGGAGGGAGCAGGAAATGAGGCAGGTGGGTGCTCAGGTGGGTCTGGGTGGAGAGAAGGGGTAGCCAGCTGCAGGGCAAGAATTCCAGGGCAGGGAGGAGCTCAGATATGGGTGGAGCTGATGACCAAAAGTAGGCATAATGCTAACATTTCCCCCACTTTGTTGATTAATAAAAAATAGGAGTCCCAGGCCAGGGGTGTGGATGGAGGTCATTTTTTCTGTAGCTACTTTCTGTTGTAAAGGAGCAAAGTAGTCAGGGGTCCCTGCCGGGTACTGTCCAAGAAGCATCTGCTTGACAGTTTGGTTGGTAAAGGTCCTTCTTTTTCCATGACAATAATTATCTAAAAAGCAGGGCTGGGAAGGTGTCTCAGTAGTAGAGTGCTTGCCTTGCACGCATGATGCCCTGGGTTTGATTCCTCAGTACCACATAAGAAAAAAGAAAAAAGCTGGAAGTGGCGCTGTGGCCCAAGTGGTAGAGCGCTAGCCTTAAGCTGAAGAGCTGAGAGACAGCGTCCAGGCCCAGTGTTCAGGCCCCATGACCGGGCCACCCCCCAAAAAACAATTATCTAAAATGAAGACACAATAAAAATCAAAATTGATGTTAAGGCAAAAATTGCTGTTAGCAGCTCAAGAGAGGAATAAGCCAGGGAGCGACTGATTCCCAGAAGGGGCTATCAAAGACCTGAAATTGCCTTTTCTGTCTCAGATTGGAGACATAGTTTGGTACCTGACTCCTGACATCCTGGAGAAGGGGAGTAAGATTTTTCCTATT